TAATGGTGATATAGTCAACTTGAAAGTTCAGACAAGCTGGACTTTATAATGGTGATATAGTCAACTTTGAAGTTCAGGCAAGCTGGACTTTATAATGGTGATATAGTCAACTTGGAAGTTCAGGCAAGCTGGACTTTATAATGGTGATATAGTCAACTTTGAAGTTCAGGCAAGCTGGACTTTATAATGGTGATATAGTTAACTTGGAAGTTCAGGCAAGCTGGACTAAATAATGGGAATATATGTCACAGGGTGAGAAAAATTTGCAGTCTGACTAGGACTCGAACCCGGGACCCTCGGAATACCGTTCCGCGGCTCTACTGAGCTATCCGGCCGCTTACACATCTTCTCCCCTAAATAGTGAACAATTCTGAACATATAGTCAACTTTGAAGTTCAGGCAAGCTGGACTTTATAATGGTGATATAGTCAACTTGAAAGTTCAGGCAAGCTGGACTTTATAATGGTGATATAGTCAAGTTGAAAGTTCAGACAAGCTGGACTTTATAATGGTGATATAGTCAACTTTGAAGTTCAGGCAAGCTGGACTTTATAATGGTGATATAGTCAACTTTGAAGTTCAGGCAAGCTGGACTTTATAATGGTGATATAGTCAACTTGGAAGTTCAGGCAAGCTGGACTTTATAATGGTGATATAGTTAACTTGGAAGTTCAGGCAAGCTGGACTAAATAATGGGAATATATGTCACAGGGTGAGAAAAATTTGCAGCCTGACCAGGACTCGAACCCGGGACCCTCGGAATACCGTTCCGCGGCTCTACTGAGCTATCCGGCCACTTACACATCTTCTCCCCTAAATAGTGAACAGTTCTGAACCGTGACATATAGTCAACTTTGAAGTTCAGGCAAGCTGGACTTTATAATGGTGATATAGTCAACTTTAAAGTTCAGGCAAGCTGGACTTTATAATGGTGATATAGTCAACATGGAAGTTCAGGCAAGCTGGACTTTATTATGCCCCCGCCATATAATGGCATTTGTTACCCTGTTCCGTCATTCCGTAATTCCGTCATTTCGTCCTTCCGTCATCATCAGTTTCCGTTCATTATCTTAATAACTGTTGCACATATTGAACTCAAATTTGACATATAGATATGACATGAGAAAATACAGGTCAAGTTCGAAATTGGTCATGGTTCGATGATTTTTGGCAGAGTTATGCCCCTTTTACTTTGAAAATAATATGAAATTTTCAGTTTCCGTTCATTATCTCCCCAACGGTAAAACACATTCAACTCAAACTTGACATATGGATATGTCATGAGAAAATACAGGTCAAGTTCAAATTTGGTCATGGTTCGATGATTTTTGGCAGAGTTATGCCCCTTTTACTTTGAAAATAATATGAAATTTTCAAATTCGTTCATTAACTCCCCAATGGTACAACACATTCAACTCAAACTTGACATATGGATACGTCAAAGGAATGCGCAGGCCAAGTTCGAATTTGGTCATTGTTTGATGATTTTTGGCAGAGTTATGCCCCTTTTACTTTGAAAATAATATAAAATTTTCAGTTTCGGTTTATTATCTCCCCAACAGTATTACACATTCAACTCAAATTTGACATATGGATATGTCAAAGGAATGCGCATGCCAAGTTCGAATTTGGTCATGGTTCAATGATTTTTGGCAGAGTAATGCCCCTTTCACTTTGAAAATGATATGAAATTTACAGTTTCTGTTCATTATCAACCCAACAGTGTTACATATTCAACTCAAAATTGATATATGGATATGTCAAAGGAATGCGCAGGTCAAGTTGGAATTTGGTCATGGTTCGATGATTTTTTGGCAGAGTTATGTCCCTTTCACTTTGAAAATAATATAGATACATCTTAGGAATAAGCAGTTTAAGTTTGAATTTGGTCGTTGTTCAATGATTTTGGACAAACTTATCTTTCCTGAATGTTGGAAAAAATTTTGAACTTTCAGTTTCAGCACTCATACTTTTGTGGAAATGTATATAGCCATTATTTTGGCTACAAATATGCAATTTGCTATTTTCAAAAGGTTAAGACTGAATCATTTCAGTGCCTTGAACATTGTATAAAAATGGTTTGTGTTAACATTGAAAAGTTTTAAGGGCTTTGAACAAAGAATGAAAAAAATAATTTGTGCAAACAAATTTGGAACTAAATATTATAACATTTGAAATTTTGGCTGCATGCGGGGGCATCCGTGGCATGATGACACATTTTTAGTAATGGTGATATAGTCAAGTTGGAAGTTCAGGCAAGCTGGACTTTATAATGGTGATATAGTCAACTTGAAAGTTCAGGCAAGCTGGACTTTATAATGGTGATATAGTCAACTTGAAAGTTCAGGCAAGCTGGACTTTATAATGTTGATATAGTCAACTTGAAAGTTCAGGCAAGCTGGACTTTATAATGGTGATAAAGACAACTTTGAAGTTCAGGCAAGCTGGACTTTATAATGGTGAAATAGTCAACTTGGAAGTTCAGGCATGCTGGACTTTATATTGGTGATATAGACAACTTGAAAGTTCTGGCAAGCTGGACTTTATAATGGTGATATAGAAAATACTGATATTGTGAAAAAGTTGAAAAAAAATAATATTGAAATGAATTGCATGATTATATTGTAAAATGTCCTTGGTGTCAAAGGTCACGAAGCCAAGTCAAGTACAGTGAGCTTATTCATAGGTTATTAATCCATATAATCCTTGAATCGTTGTGAAAGTGTGTCTTGCATTTTAATCTCGGATTAAAGGTATTAAACACAAAGAAAATGTTCGGACATTAGTGTTGCGCTGTATTGAGCAAGAAAACTTTACTAGCGTTCCGTGTTTTGACGGGGAATATATTGTGTTTTTGTTTTATTTAGATAATAAAGTAGATTATTCAGAGAGAGAGAAAAATATTTTAGAATATTAAGATTGTTGTTTTATCAATATTGAAGGAGGATTTGATGATCAAAGGGAAAAAAAGGAAATATTGATTATTTATACATGTATGTTTTATCTGGAATTTTATAAAATTGATATATATTTTTTAAGGATAATTTTCCTAATAATTTTCTTATTTAGAATAATGGAATATAAGGAAGAAAATGTGTGAAGAAAAATATTTGAATAAATAATAATAACATTTGTTACTTAAAATTATGTTCAATAAGACATAGATATGTCTAGATTTTAATAATTCCCAGTTTTGAAAATATAATTTATAACTACAAGTGGTACTTCTAATCTGTAATGTAGGAATTACCATTGACATGTTTTTACCTTTATTGCTACAAATGATGTCTTTTAAAATGAGAAAATTTAGCAAGATTATAATAAGAAAATTGGGAAATGTAAAAATCTTTTTACACTACATATTTATACATTTTTCTTTGGATGATACTAGCAGAGCTGTCATTAATTGAGAACAAAGCATATTTAGGATACATGTATATCTCTGTGGTCTAGGGGTTAGAGTCGATGACTTCTAATCCAGTTAACTCTCTGGCGTGGGTTTGATCCCCGGGAGATGCTTTGGTAGTTTAGCGCGGAGGAAGGTAGTCTAGTACTGGTGTAACTCTCCAGGAATGATGGTTAGGAAACTACCCGCCTATATGACTGAAATACTGTTGGGAATAGGCGTAAAATAATGAAACAAACAAATAAAATATCAATATCAGATATCAAATATTGATGATACACAAATATATAGATAGCATAATATTAGACATGGACATGTGATGAATTTTCATAATTTCTAAATATAAGTAATTAATCAAAATCAAATGTGTATTGATTGACAGAAAAATATGGACGATAAATCAATATCATTGCAATCCATCACTGCTCTAAATATACCTACTGTATTTTAATAACATATTTATTTCCTAAAGAACCATATGTGCCTGTAAAATTGAGCTTGTTGGGGTAAATTTTCACAATATTTGGTAATTTTCAAGAGTAAATTGAAAGTTTTCAATGGTTTTGACAATAATGTCATCCACACTCTCCCATTTGAGAGATAGGTTGTATTAGATTTTACATGTTCAATGCTAAACTAGATTATTGTGGGATACATGGTGTATATGTAATTGAAATGGTTAATTCTGGCAACTAGATATATTTACTACAGAGATATAGCTTTAACATGAAGATTATTGACTGTTGTCTTTGCCAGAAGTTTTATTGTTTGTAGGGTATGACTGTCTATTAGTTAAGAGACTAGCTTGTCATAAATAATGTTGTTTTTTTTTCCCAATGCCTGAAATAATAGAGAATAACAATACTGATATTGAACTTATTGCTGAGAAAAACAGGAATGATTTCATGTGACCTTACTTGGTATTGTTGTGACTTTAAGGGTGTAAAGCCTTTACTGGCAAAATGTATTCAATTTCAGCATTGTTTTGCTAAATTGGGAACAGGCCTACAGCCTTTGTCTCTTGATTTTGGGAAAATTATAGTGAAAATGCTTATTTACAAAGTAAAAAAGCTTAATATTTTGGAGAAAACTGCATGACTTTAAAGGAAAAGTTTATAAGGAAGAGACCTTTAATAGGCCTCTGTTATATTATATTGTATACATACTGATATTGCATGTGTTTCAAGATTTTACAATTGTTTAGGTTATGTATTCTTGATAGTCAAATCTGAAGAGAATTTTAGTAGAAATTGTCCCTGTTATTTAATGTAGATAAATTGAATAAGGAAACAGATAACATTCCCTAACAAAATATTTATTGCTAATTCAAGTGCAATTTGCAGTATTTTTGCACATGCCCAAAAGGTTTATTTAAAATCCATGAACAATAATTTGTTCTTTCAATTTAGTAAGTTTGGTAGCATTTCTGCCTTCAGACCTACCTACCTATTACAGATGGGCAAGTTTAGCAGTACATCTACTTGTAAATCTGTGTGAAAGTAACTCTTGGAATAAATTGTATTTTACAAAATAACTAATATTTTGTATATTAAAGGTATTTTATATATACTAATTTTCATAATCTTTATTACAGGCCCCAGCATGTGAACATGCCTTCTGTGCTTCCTGTATTCAGGAGTGGTTGACAAGGCAACCAACCTGTCCGGTAGACCGCAACCCTATCACACCAAACCAGCTGAAACCGGTTCCTAGAATTCTACGTAATCTTTTGTCTCGCCTCCACATTACATGTGATAACAAAGAGTATGGTTGTACAGTGGTTGTGAAACTAGACATGTTACCAAATCATCTGAATGAGTGTGAATTTAATCCTAAAAAACCAGTCCATTGTGAGCTTGGTTGTGGACTGGTTGTGCCAAAGGATGAACTCAAAGTAAGCTAATTGAAGAAAAGATTAATTAATGGTATCAAGTAGTGAATGTGAGCTATAAAAGAGTGCTTTCATTTAACTTGTTACATAAAAGTAATGAACATAAAGTGAATTAATTGCAAAAGTAAGTGTAATTTGACTGATTAACTTAAAGTTTGCTAATTAAAGAAAACATTTTTGTGGACAGAATGAAATTACTTTAAAATAAACAAATAGGTTTATTGAATTTAAAGTAAGGAATCTTCAGAAAAGGTTCATTAAAGAATAGTTATTGCTAGTTAATGGCAAATAAGTTGTCACAATTCTGTGAGTAAATGTTTAACTGAAGAAGTGCTGTTAGTCATGTTAATAATCAAGTTCCAAAATTGTGAAAATAGTTTAACTAGAAAGGTATGTAAAAGAAGTTCCCAGATGGCTACCTGGCCTTTGTTTACAGGTTTGACTGTTTTAACATGTATGTAATTTTAACAACATGTATATTTTAGGAACATAACTGTGTGCGAGAGTTACGCAACCTTGTTAATCAGCAGACGCAGAAAATGGCAGAGATGCAGACGGAAATTGCCGAGCACAAACTTCAAATAAATGAACAAAAACGCGAACTGCAACTTTTAAAGGTATTTAATTTTGTTTATATCAGCATTTGTTAAAACATTACAAATGATTACACTGTAAATGTTGTGTCTGCGCTTGACACCTTTCTTGTTATTCAGTCAACACAGGCTCTCATGGTTAGTTCCAGTGATTTGTTCAGTTGAAAGTGATTGTCACTGATATAAGGTACAAGAACTTGTGAAACAATTAGTGTTAGCATTAAATTACTTTGGGTGCATTCAAGAAAACTAAAAGTAGAATATTAGTTATAAAGATTTTTGACAGGTTATATGGTGTTATATTGATGTTTGTTTGAACTAATTGTTTATATACGTCATATCACCTTTCAGGAATATTAATAACAAATTTATAGTAAAGCAAACTACTATTTTTGAGGGAAAAAAGTGAGATTTCTTAATAAATTGACAGCAGCCATGTATATTAAACTATATAAACGTTCCGATTATCCAATGAAATGCGATATTACAGACATACAGTGTTAAATGAGTAAACAATACATATAACTCGTACATAACTGTTTAAATTTATCTTTGCAGGAATACATGAGATCTATGAGAGTTTCAAATCCAAGAATGAGAGAGATACAAACAGAAATGGAACAGTCTGATATTGTCAGGTGAGTGTATATATATATACACATGAGAACTGTGGATTATTATATAACTTCAAGACATAAAACCAAACAAACAAACAAGACAAATACAATTGAAATGTGTAGGTCAGGATCTACAAAGCCACTTCTGAATCAATGTTTATCCCTTATCACTCTTAATATTTTAATTGGACTTGTCAATCTTTCACTCCATCACTTTTAGGGAAAATTTCAAAACATTTACTGTCTTAATATCAAACAATGCAGACCATGATTATCAAGCTATATAATAGGATGGTGGTTCTACTTGGGTGCTTAAAGAAATCTTCCTCCACCAATAAAGCAGAGAGATGGCTGTATGACCTATACATATTGAATTTAAGTATCATTCTGCTCATTTTAATAATGTTAAATCTAGCAGAATTGACTATATATTTCAAAAGATTGACTATTGTTCCCCACTCTTTTTATAAATTGAACATCACCTATACAATCCGAAAGATGTTTAAAGAATATTTCGTGAGTCACATTGTTTATTGAATATACATGTGGAGTAAAATATTAAATTGAAAACAACTATGCCAAAATGTGAAGTTATATGGACCTTTACCTGTACCCTTAATATTTACTGCTGGATGGGCATAATGTCACTTTAATATAGGGATGGCAACGAGTAACCGGGTAACCGAGTACTCGATCGAACGTCCGAATATCGGTTAACAAAATTGATATTCGATTACTCGGAAAAAATATTTCTTTTCTACTGTTTTTGCGATTTAGAAAGATTAGTTCAGAAATTCGGAAATGTACACGTATCTGTATAAATACTTGTTAAATGCAATAAAAACATCCTTGCAGAGGTGTGAAAATGATATCTTAAATTTAACGAGGCGATTAGCAGTTTGACATGCGTATTGGATTGAACATAGTCCTGTGTCGTTTACATACGGCCTCTTACGATATTTAATAACCTTTAAATATTAGACAGTTTGTAGCCGAAACTTGTTAATTATAAAAACGTAAATATATATACGGAATATTATGTTGAAGCTTTGTATTTTGCTAGGAGCAGCGGTGGAAAAATTGATATCTCAATTTTCCTACATCGCGAATAGAAAAATGCATAGGCTCAGAAAGCTACTACAACATAATTTTCCTTTTATTATATACCTTTTCGTTTGAATTATAAATGATTTTCATTATACTACACTTCTATAAGAAATTTCAGAAAATTAAATGTAGCTGTCAAGAAATAAATCTATGACCGACGGGAGAATATGTAGTTTTTGCAAAACCTGCCACGCCTTTTTATAATTTTGGTGTCCGTTTCCAAATGCTATGTTTATACGCAGCTTAAATCGGAACCAACGTCAAAAATAGTCCGGCGCTTCCATATATGGTACCGTATTTGTCACTAACATAAAAAGGACTTTTCTATCCGTTGAAGCGTATTTGCGCTTCAAGTTCATCCTGTATTCTAGGGAGAAAATTTGTAGGTACAATGTATATCATTGGCATTTCTTATGTTTAAATTTATATATGTATTTCTTGCAGTCCTATTTATAGTTACGAATTCTATGAATTAAAATTGAAAACGAAAGTAGCATGCAGACGGTGCTGATATTGTGTGGTAAAACTTTAAATATCATTGGAAATCATCCGAGTAACCGAGTACTCGATCGGAAAAATGACCGAGTACTCGAGTATTGATTTTGGTATTCGTTGCCATCCCTACTTTAATACAATCCGATCATGATCCTAAGTGATAAATATAACATTTGGCTGTATATTTGGAGTATCCTGTAAATGCATATTCATCGTACAAGTATATACCTGCATGTAGTATCAAAAGTGTTTCGAATGCAAAGTCCTTATGACTTCATGAACAATTTGCATCTCTATATATAACTCCATTTTAGATCACTCTGTGAATATTTCAGAAGTTAGTTTATTAGTCCTGTTCAATAAAGTTTTGTACGATAATGTAGAAATAATATAAAATTTTCAGATGGACAAACAGTCTACAGACTGCCAGGGTAACACGCTGGGGTGGTATGATATCTACGCCAGACGCAGTGCTTCAAGCCGTGATAAAAAGATCACTGATAGATAGCGGATGTCCTTCCCATATCGTGAATGAGTTGATGGAGAACGCACACGAACGACGGTGGCCAGCAGGTCTAGCTACGTTAGAAACAAGACAGATTAACAGACGACAATATGAGAATTATGTCACAAAAAGAATACCGGGTAAGTGGTATGAATGAAAACCAGTTTGGTTCTCTGACTGCACACCTATACAAGAGAAAAACTGGATTAATGTAAACATTGAACAATTTCATTGACATAGAATTTTAAACAAATAGAAATTTAGGGAATAAAGAAAACACTGTAAAAATGCTTACTATATCTTTTTAGGGTAATGTTGTAAAAGCAACAAGATTTCTTTCCCAGTGTAAACATTATTTATACTGCAAAATCATCATTTATTAAGAGGTACTCATTTTCGTGGTTTTCATCCAGGAATTCAAGATCCAGTGAAATTTTATTTTGTTTGCTGTAGGATTATTTTCCAATACATTATTTGCATTAACTAATTTTGCAAAAATAGTTAAAAATTGTAAAAACCCATGAAAATGTTGTTTTTGTTTTTTTGTTGTTTTTTTTTACAAAAACCACGAAATTTCAAGAATTTAATTCAGAGTAATACATGTTTATGCTTGGACAGGTAAATAAGCAGTTTACTTATTTTGCAAAGATAGACAACAATCTAAGAACCCATAAAATTTTTAAAAGATATTCTTTTTTGACAAAACTACAAAATTTCATACCCACGAAATAAAGTGATTCACATTTATACATGGTTTGATAGGTTTATATTTAAATCATTTTACTTTTATTGCAAAAATAGACAATCCATGAATCTAACAACCCATGAAGTAATGTTTTTTTTAAACAACCACGAAATTTCATGCCTACAAAAAAACACAAAATTTCATGCCCACAAAATAAAGTGAATTTACAGTAATATATATGTATTGACAGGTAAACAAGCAGTGGTTGTAACAAGTATAGAGAATCAACATATGCCAGAAGATCTGATCATGGAACCAGGGCTGGTGATGATCTTTGCTCATGGAGTCGAATGATACACACTCCAATTATAGGTTTGAATTGTTTATTTTCATCTTTATTAGCTCATCTCAGTTCACAAGGGTTATTTCAGTTATATTACTGTTTTCAAAATCAACACTTTTTAGATATTTTCTATGTAATTTAAAGCCAGTTAATTTCTCTTAAATGAAAGTAAAGATCATGTGTATTAGAAGTTGGTCAGTTGCGAAAAAATTGGCAATTACTGGTTAGTTAGTTAAGTTTATACTAATTTATTTTAATTTGATTGTGTTGGAAGCTATAAGCTTATTGAAACACACTTTGAATCTGTTCCTGGAACTAACCAGTATTAAGCAATGAGTGTAAAATTTCTTGCTCACAGAAACAATGGCTTGCCCCTGACAGGGTTTGAACCCACGCAGTCAGTAATCAATAGATTTCTAGTTTGACGTATTAACCACTCGGCCACACTGCCACTCAACCGGTTAGTTATCTAGGGAAGATGTTCAACCACCGAGATATGACCTAAAATTGCTTGGAAATTTGTGTAAAAACCTGACAAACAAACAAAGAGTTAATTGTCTAATGGTGTTTTTCTGTTCATTTTTCAGGACCAAAGCTCATACAATCCCAGCAAGCATCAACAATTAACATTTCTTTTCAGCTTCATGAAAGTTTTTATATGTACAGCATAGATCTATATTAATATACATTACTTGTAATATATTATTTATGCCAAACAATCGTTTATGTATACACTGACTTGTTTTTCGCCAAATGAACCAATGCTGGTTTTTAGGCTCGCACAGAATTGATACTTTGAGGGACATGAAATAGGATCTGACCTCAAAGTTTACAGAATTGCTACTTAAAGCATAAAAAAATGCTATATTTTTCGTAAAATCAAAATTTCAACTTCACAACATTTCTACTTTAACCCTTTAACTGCTTGGAACGAAAAGTGATGAATATTTTACACCATTATAGAGCCCTATACTGTTGGCTGACCAATGTTCAAATTTTGATATCCACGAAAATTGATAATGGAATGGTCCAAAAAATGGAAGCTGGACCAGTCTAAGGTAAAGGTTTAGTAGAAATTTAATGTATTGCTACTTTAGTAAAACTGGATTTATTCTCGCAACTACTTTAGTACCACTTTAAAGCAGAATATGTTGCCAATTTGGCATATGTGTATTATTTTTTTCTCTAAAACTTTTAAAAGTTGTGACTTTATACACAATATTGTTGCTGTTTTTGAATATGTTGATCGTAATACCAACTGTAGCAAAGTTTATAAAGCAAAAAGTGTTGTTAACTTTTGTAAAGTCGAATTAGAATTAAAAAATTTGCAGAATTTCCACTTTAAGTAGAAAAGTATTGCCACTAGTTGGAATGGGTTTTTTTTATTCAAGTCAAGTGTATGTTTAACTTTTGGTAAAGGATGTCTGATTAATATTTCAATACAAAGTTGTCCCGGAAACTTTCTCTGTAAATTTGTATATTAAACTTCATATTTAAATAGTAAATGTATATCGTCACCTGAGTGCAATAACTGGTTAACTCCTATTAAATATAAAAGGATTTAACCTGTTACTGCACTAAGGTGACGATATATGATAAATTGATTCTGAGAAATTCTTGTTTCTTTATAAATAACAACATAGAACACATTTTTTTAATTGTTTTACCTTTTCCCCAATTTTTAAACAACTTGAAACATCTTAAAAAATAATTGGTAAGTTTCATTTGAAAATTTTTAAACAAATAAAAATGGGAAATTTTTTTGTAGATCCCCGTTGAAAAAACCCTTTTTTATTTAAATCTTTTTTTAATCTTTAAAATTCCAGATAATACATAGTTGAAGAACAGAAAAGTGTGGTTATTATATTGATGAATAGCTAAGCATAATTAAACAATTTCTTCTGTTCACAAACTCAAACAGTTGTTAAGGGATTTAACTGTTGTCAAGTCACCTCAAGAGATTTTACTGTTGTCAGGTCACCTGGCACATTTAAATGGGATTTTCTTCATTTCATTGCATAAAGATCTGTTCCTAGTATATTTATTGTTACACGAGGTAGAAATTTGAAAATATATTACAAATATGGAGAGGTCTAATGAATACTGAACTGTAATTTTTTGACATGTTTATTTCTATTTTTGTTTGTTTGTGTGATAATTTTCATCCCAATCATGTTATAATTTTCATATTTTGTGTATTAAGATTCATATGTTAATATATTGTTATTCATATTAATATTTGAATATAAATCTGGATATTTTGATATTAATATTTATGATAATGTAATAGTGCATTGTTCTGTGTGACTGCTTAATATTCATAGTGATATATTAATATTCCTAGTGATATATTAATATTCATAGTGTTATATTAATATTCATAGTAATAAATTAATATTCATAGTGATATATTCACATTCATAGTGATATATTAGTATTCATAGAGATATATTAATATTCATAGAGATATATTAATATTCACATGAATACATTAAGATTAATATATTCATATCAATATTATACGCTATCCCACATGACTGATGTACAATTGTGCTTTGTGACAAGTGCTTTCATTTACAGCAGTACAAGATCTATTAATAGATTAATTGCTTAAAGGGCGGTTGTTGTTTACTAGTGCTGATTGGTTAAAAATAGTTCTAAAGAGATATAGTACTAAAAATATAAAGAATGCATTGTGGTTGATATAATCAAGTTAATCAGGTTGTTTTATATTACTTAGCAATATTTTGTCGTCTTTAAAGACCATTCTTTAGTTTATAAAAAAGGGGTGGGGGAGAGGGGTGTAAATTCTATTATTCAGAGTATCTGCATATAGTAAAAAAATGAAGATGAAAAGAAGATACAAGACTGTCAGACTGTGATGTACCCTGTGTGAGGTATTGATATCTCAGTGAGATATTATTCATATATCATTATGAGGTATGAGATATAATCAGTATCTCATTATGAAGACTATAAATTGCTTTTGACTTATTATGAAAGGAAACTGCTTTTGACTGTGAATATGAAATGTTTTTACTTTATGAAGTCAGTTTTGAAGGGGAACAAATTTACCAACTAGAATATAGTTTACATATCCTATCCAAACAAATACCTTATTTCCTCATGTATAAGACAGTTCACTTATAGGACGGGGGTCTTAATTGTACACTAAATAAAGTGAATTTACAGTATTATTATCAGAATTATAGGAATTGGTCTAAACAAAGTGATATACAAACAAAGAGTATAGGGTTATATTTTTTCAACATTTGAACAAAGGATAATTGTTTTATACAATATTTTTGAGTGTCACAAATTTCAAGTTAATTTTTCAAGGTTTGATAATGATTTTAAGGATGAGATTATCCTTGCTGTTTATTTTGCAGTGTTTCTTATGTTGATATGATAATATTAATGGTGTTGTCACAAAATATTATATTTTTATCTTTATAATTATTTTGCTTAACAACCTTTCTGTTAAAACAACGAGTGCAGAAAACATTACATCCATTTATTTTATGTTTATGTTACACATTTATTTTCTCTTGTACTTTTATTATTGTAAAAAAAATCACTTTATTTAATGTACATGAATATGAAAATTATATGAAAGTTTTTGAAAATCTTTGCTGTAAAAATGAAAAATAATTCTTTTACTAACTTTTAATGAAAGTGATTTAGAAAAAAAAGCCGTTAAAGGTCAAACAAGAGCAACTGAAAATCAGCCTGCAAGAAAATAAAAATGAGGAAAAAAGAGGCAAATAACTGGCTTGTATAAAAAAATTTTTTTTTAATTTATATCTTGTCTGTTCTGAAGAAAATGTTGAGCTAATGTAATTGTAAATTTTAATGTAGCCCATTATCCAAACATTTTAAAAGTTATCAACATGAAACTTTGAATACTTGCTTATTATGACAATGTGAAATTGTTAGACAAGGGGCGTAATTCTGAAAGCAATGTTTTTGGAGTTATGCTCCTTTTTAACTTGGAATCTTTTTGTTCGTAAAAGATTATTTTGATTAAAGAGAAGTATAAGAGTTGAAGTCAAAGAAATGGAGGAATAGATGACCTTAGATGGTTTATGCCCAGTAGAAGAGCGGGACTTAATTGGACAGGAAATATGTGGGGGGGGGGGGGGACAGAAAAAAAAAACCAACAATTTTTACCTCCCAAGAAGAAAAACTGTTTGCAATAAATTGCAGATAATTAATAAAAGTATTGTAAGAAAGTTAAACTATTAGTCTGGTGGGACCAAAAAAATGATAAACCTTTGCCACTAGTACAGAGGCAGGCAATGTGTTGATCCATGCAGTCTGACCAGGCTCTATACTGTTGGCTAATCAACTTGAAATTTTCATCTTGCTATTCCTAGATAATGGTCAATTCCTAAAAGAAAAAGTCCATGTCAGAAATTCAGCAAGTTCAGGGTTATTGTGTACCATTATCATGCTTTTACTGTACTTTGATAATGTACTTCATTTAAAGCAGACAGCAGTACAGAGTCTGGTCCAACTGCAAGGATTGTGTCTTGACAAGGCTGCCCTTGGTATAGGTAGGTATAGGTAGATTTCTGCCGGTATTGCTACCAGTACAGACTTGAATAACTAGCTCAAGGGTAACTGTTTACATTGCTAACGTTGATAAGGTCATTCTAAGAACGCAATTCTTTCATAAAAGGCACATGGAAATTATGTCATTTAAAATATGTGACTTGTCTTACATGAGGGGTGTAAGACAGGTTTTTCTAGCACTGGTGTAAACAGGAGATAATCGTGTCTGATATGCAAAAAGAAAAGTTGCATCATAACCTTAAATATTTCTTAATATTTTTGTGTGTCAATCTTTTGTCTGTGAAGTAAACCATTTAAGACCATTTTGTTTCTCCACATCATGTAGAATCATTATTTATAGTATTGTTATATATCTGTGATTTAAACTTTCTGTCTTTCTACGTTTAGCTCTTATTATCGGCTGAGAAACAAAAGAAAATCATGTACAGATATCACAATAAAGGGGCAGATTCATTTTTGTATAAACACAGATAAATGTATATATATTACTGCCTCTCACATTGTTGATGTAATTCTTTTGTATAAAGATTTATCAGATGATAATAGTCGTCACGCTTGATTGATCAAGTCTATTTTTAGAATTGATCTTTAATTGAAGATATCGAGAAATTTCAAATTTGCATTTGATTGGTCAATGTTTGTTTTAGTAGTTGTTTTCTTGTAAGGAAACGCTATTCAAGCAAGTTATGTAGGAGGTCTCTGTGGTTGTTATGGAGATTCCACACATGCCTTGGAGCCCACAAATGCCTGGCTGAGGGCACACATGTGCCTCTGGGCAAACACATGCCTAGGGACCCAGGGATTGTACATGCCTTGGGGCACACATGTGCCTCTGAGCACACACATGCCAAGGGACTACACATGCCTTGGGGCACACATGTGCATATGAGCATGCACATGCCTAGGGACCCAGAATCCCACACATGCCTTGGGGCACACATGTACCTCTGAACACACCCATGTCTAGGGACCCAAGGACTACACATGCCTTGGAGCACACATGTGCTTCTGAGCACACACATTTCTTAGAGTTCACACATGACTTAATAATGTCTAAATTAATGTCTAAAGGTTTTCTTTCTTAGTTAAACAAGAAAGTTTCTGTAAGGCCTCAGTGTTGTGACATGTGTAATTTAAAACCAAAATTAAAATGATTTATTTCATTACATGTATACTTATTTCGACAAAAGAAAGATTATTACTTTGATTTTATATTAATAAATAGGTTGTTTTGTTTTTAGCCATTTCTGAATTTGTATATTTTATGACGATGGTTGTGCTAGATCAATGAACAAATGCAGGCATAGATCTGTGTGGTATAATGTATAGATCTACATTGTATAATTTATGTTTGAAATGTTTTTTAAAAGTGTGCTAATATGTTGAAATTGCATAGAAGTGTGTAAACTGATTGTGTTTAACATAAAACGTGTGTATGTGTGTGTGTGTAGCATTGTGTAACATATATGTCAAATCCAGCTGAATTATCTTGTTTCTATATTTTGTATTAAAACTAACAATTTTCTGTGTAGAAAACTGTACATAGATTGTTGCTTAAACAATAAAACATACTTTATACAGATCTGATCTTATTTCATTTTTATGATGTCGAAAGTCCAGTTGTCAAAATAAGGTCTAGCTAGATTAGTAGATTTTTTTCTTGGGCTAGTTAAAATTAGCAATTTATAATGAAAAATTGCTTAGTTTGCCTAATTTTAATGACAGCCTTACTTAGAGAGTAGTTGTGGAAAGCATACTGTGATGGGATGCCCCATCTATCTGTCGGGTTCGTCCGTCAGTCTGAATGTCTTTCCAACTGTCCATTCGTTCATATGGGTTGTTATCTTTATCTGATCAATTTCTTGAGAAGGTTTGAGCTTGGTAGGGACATTTACTTGGCCAATAGATGACCTCTATTGAGTTGTTGTCATTAGGTCAAGGTCACAATGACAATAGTTCCTTGTTTGACCAGTAACCCTTAGAAGAAATAAGCCCATGTATGAAATTTAATAGAAATATTCCCCACAGCCTGAAGGTAATCCCTATTGAGGTCAAGGTCACATACACTGTTAAATCATTGTCTTATTACAGGCTTGCAAAGGAATAAGCCA